TAAACCCTAAACCCCCAAAAAAACCCCGAAAAGCACCCCAAACCCCCCTGCAAGGGCCCTTACATCAAAACGGAGCACCAAGAGCCCAGCAGGTGAAGACCTTCCGTGAGAAGTATCTGGAAACCGAAACCACGGTCCATCCAGAGGAGAGGACTCCGGAGCAGAAGCAGGACCCGGAGAGATTCGAGGGGGGCTGTAAGTGTAGCATGTAGGGTCTAGGTCCTTCGAGTTTGATTCTAGGGGCTGTAAGTTGTAAAACTTAGCGTCTAGGTCCGTCGAGTTTTTTTTTCAACGGGTGGCTGAAAATTAGGGTTCGGTGAAGGGTTTCTAGAGCCTGGTAGTAGAAGTGGGTTTGACACAGCGCTAGTATCGGAGGGCTTGATGAGTGTTCTTCGAGGACTTTGCACAAGTATTTGCAAGCGTTTCTATCGCGGTTCTACAGTTTGGCGGACGGTGTTCAAAGGGACTTCAGGGCAGCGAGATGGGCCTTCTTGGGCTCAGGGGATCTAGGGAATCACAGAGGGACTAAGGGGTCGTGGTCGGATCCAAGTTTTGCAGCTCAGGGGTTGAGTTTCCGGGTTAGGGTTTAGGTTTGTTTTTAGGGCTTCGCGTGTTCAGGGTTGCAGGCTTTTCGAGTTTAGAGTTTTGGGCTTGGGGTTTGGAATATGGGGCTCTACAGCGCAACTTGTTCCGGGCTTCAGCTTTGAATTATTGGCTTCGGGCCATACGCCCAATGTTGCGTTGCTTTGAGTGCTCGTGGGTGCAACACAAGAAGTCTTATCGAAGTGTTATCGAGAAGCCTTGCAAGCCAGAAACCTGGGAACGGCCCTTCTCAAGCCGTGGGACCGTAACCCTTCGACGCAAACTGCCAACCCCGAAACGAGACCCTGCACAACTTCGACGGAGAACACTGTACCGTGAAAGTCTCTGTACGGGGTCCTAACTGCGCTGAGATTCTCCTTAACCCTAAACCCTAAACTAAACCCTAAACCCTAAACCCTAAACCCCAAACCCTAAACCCTAAACCCTAAACCCTAAACCCTAAACCCTAAACCCTAAACCCTTAACCCAAAGCAATCACCCAACAAGCCTGCAAAGTCTCATTCGTCATCCTTGCTGCAGGACATCCTCAGTTTCGTTCTCAAGCTTAGCGATATAGGCCATGCCGGTGCAGGGTTTAGGGCTGGCAGGGTTGGGCTTGTGGTTGTCGATCAGTCTTGTCGTCCTGCCCAGTAGTTTCTGACGATTATTGTTGGTGTTATTATTGCTACTCGTGCTTCGTAGTCAGAAGCCTGCCATGACCAGGTAAAGGCCGGAAACAACGCAAGCCGTTCACACGGCAAGATGGCCGGCGCGATGCGACGACTGCCCCGGCCCGACCGATGCGCCAGTTCTGCGGTCTGGACGCTCACCCAGTGTTTTGCTGAAAGCCTCTGCCGGCACGGCACTTACCAATCATCGGGGAGTCCCGCTACAGCCAGCCTGGGCGAGGGAGCGATGTCGGGTGGCGGCCGTATTGTTGTGGCATGGTTTTCGACATTTGATTTCAGTCTGTTCTATTTGTGGCCGGGGGGATGGGAGGGGTCATATTATCCTGACATTGTCCTGACATACTGCAACATACATGGTTGTCGCGGCTACCCAAATCGTCCTTATTGGTACTCATGTTATCGTTCTGACTACGAACAGCACTTGTAGGACAACTATTGCTGCTGTTGATACCAATATTGCCACCATCATCTTCTTATCTCGAGACTTCATCCTGATACAGCTGGTGATAGGTTATGTCAAGGTATGTCTTGTGCCACATATGTCTGTGGTGTATCTCAGCACCGCTGTGGTATTGTCAGCTGGCCGCAGTGCAGCACAACGCCCTATGTGTTGGTAGAAGATTCCTGCTACATTACCTTTTTTGGGGCCAAGAAGACCTCAAGGCTCCAAGACCCTAAACCGGCGGAAGACTGCTGTACTCTTAGAGAACCCGTACAAGACCTACAGAAAACGTATAGAATCCTTACAGAACCTGATCAAAGCCTTGTGGACCCCCCATATACAAAAACAAACGCAAGAGACTGCTGAGCAGGCGGAAGCGCGAAGCCCTTCACGCTGCACGCGCAGTGGGCCACGCGAATAAATGCAGAGCTTCTCGGCTCGGTTCTATTGTTTAGAAGGGTTTAGGAGAGTCTTATAAAGCTGTATGATTTTATGCAAGAGCGTTACGGGTGTCTGAGAACGGTTGTATGCGTGTTCTGTTGTGAGGCTTCGGTTCAGGGCTTGGTGTTCACAGTTGAAATTTAGGGTTCGAAGTTTAGAAGTATGTAGCGGGTGGTTCTAGAGCGTCTTCCCGCTTTGGGAAGCCATTCCAGCGTCCTCGAGATTGTTTGGACTATCGGAACGGCTCATAACTTGCAGCGCCTCCTGTGAAGAGGGCGGAGAGATCTGTATCACCGTCATACATTGGACCGACCAGGACCAAGCAGGATAACCTGGCCAGAAGCCTTGAACACCAATCCTTGTTCTCAGTAGTCTTCATGCAGTCTTGCCGCGACCCCACAACCCCCTACCCCACTGAGCCACTACCATGCCGCTCCACAGCCCGCTTCCCCACTGCCCACTACGCCACTGACCTCACGACCCCACCCACCACCCACCACCCACCACACACTACCACAACCCTACTACCCCACTTCCACGGCCTACGACCACGACTCACGACGACGACCGCAAAACTACTGCCTGCTACTAGGCCGAAGACGACAAGGAAATAATAGGCTTGAGCGACTACGATTACTGCTGCATCACTACCTACCAGTACGCCTCCCTCTGCTACTGCCTTTACTGCGATATTGGGGCTACAATCGCCTAACACAACTGCCACGAGCTGCCACAACCACCACCCACACCACCAGCAATGTCACCAACACCGCAATACCTCTGCGCAGGTCAAGCAAATCCTTGATAGCTTGCTGCATGGTGTTCTCTGGCCATAGATCTAAACATCTCGGTTCAGGCTCCCCAAAGCCCACGGGAGATACTACTGACCAGGTCCCTTGATCTCCAATAATCCCGCGAAGGTTCTTTCTGCAGGGCGACTTGGAAAGAGAGGCGCTGAGAGACTTGCGGGCACTATCTCAGAGAGCACAAGACCCCGAATATAAAGTATATTCGTTGTGAAAGGCTTACAGGTATATTGGGCTTCCTGGGATTGATATGCCTTGAATCCTGGTCAAGCCGTCAGGGGTCGAGCGCACTCCACGTAGCTCTCTCGAAACCCCAAACCCCAAACTACTCTGCCAGGGTTGGCTTGGGGCATGTTGGGGCTGTACGAATCTACCTGGAGGCTTTGAGCCGGAAGCCTGAACCAGCCGCACCCAGAAAGTACAACATCCTTTGCTGAGGAACATGCCTAACGTCTGATTGCCAAGCAGTCCCCTAAACCCTAAAGTCTAAACCATTTGATATTGCTTGTTCATCGGTCATCGGGTTCTGTTAATGGCAGGTTGCCGTTGAAGTCCAGGTGGAGGGCTGGGTTTAGGTTCAGAAGACTAGTCCCGAAGTTCCGGCGGGATGCAAAGCCCACAACCAACATGCCTTCGCCAGCCGCAGTAGTGTTAGCGGTCCGCTGCGTGGCCCCTCACCTCCATATCTGTGCGCCTATGTCCTGGACCTAGAAACCGAAGACCCTGAATCCTCAAGCAGCTCTGCTTTGCAACCTGCTCTGCGGGAGGTTGGCCTGCCCTGCTCGCCGTTCTGCGATCGGAAGGCGAATCTGGTTCGGGGGGGCCCTATATCGGGGCTTGACAAAAGGAGCTCCGGTCCCAAACCCGAGGAGTTTAGGGCTTAGGGTTTCGGGTTTCCTTTAAGCCCTAAGCCCTCAACCCTAAACCCCTAAACCCTAACACCTTAACCCCTAAACCCCTAAACCCCTAAACCCCTAAACCCCTAAACTCCTAAACCCCTAAACCCCTAAACCCCCAAACCCTAACCCCTAACCCCTAAACCCCTAAACCCCTAAACCCTAAACCCTAAACCGAGAGCCATGAACCCAAAGAGTGAGCCCCAGAGACCGAATCCCCCTCTACGCCCCAAAACTCGAACCCAGAGTCTCAATCCTTCATCTGAAGGACCAGAGCCTGAACCCATCAAGGAAGTCCCTGAGCTTGAAACCCCGAACACAAAGCCCCCCATGACTAAGAACATCCAATCCTTTTCAACCTATCCCCATATGCAACTGCACCCGGCCCTTAAGGCCCCGTGCTATTTTCCCGGGCCCTTCCGGCTTCGGTTCGCTCAGCTTCAGGCTTCTGTTGTGTGGATGGCAGATGGTTTGTGGGACTGTGATGACTTGAGGGATCAGGCGACCTAGTAAGTAGGGTTCTATGCAGGTTTTAGAAAAGCTCTATAGAGCTTTTCAATCCGAATTCCACAAAGGGCTCCATGCATCACAGGATCAGGGGACTTATTATGTAGGCTTATGAGACAGGTAAGGCCACAAGCAAGATTATTACAACTTGACTTGCCAAGCCCCCACATCCTTCAAGCAGGGGTGTGGAGCACGGCCCACTTTTGATGCGAGCCTAGGGAATCTTGTATTTGCGTATGCTGGACGCCCTGAATAGTAGGATCCTTTTATAAAGGATCCTCAAAATGCAATGAAACCTAAACCCTAAACCCTAAACCCTAAACCCTAAACCACTAAATCCTAAAGCCCTGAGGCCTGAAGTTGCTACCCTTCTTCTGATCCTCAGGTGCACAAGGTCGCTGAAAGCCAGCAAGGCCCGGCGTTGGAGCTTCGGAAGGTTTGGGGAGTTTTGTGGTTTGAGGGCTCTGGCCCCGAGAACTAGGGTTTAGGGTTGAGGGTTTAGGGTTCAGGAAATTGGGTTTAGAGCTTCGGAAAGGTGGGGCGGTTCGTGGCTTTTCGGGGTCCTTAAAGCGCAATAAACCCTGAGCCCAAACCTTCTGAATCTTGATGCCGCCAGCCAAAATGCCCGACTTCCTGGACGTTTCTCAGCCCTAAGCCCTAGCTCATATCCCTGTCTTGTTAAGGACACACTTGTTTGTGGGCACGCTACTGGACTGTAGTATAGAAGAGATTTTTGAACTATCCTCAGTATGCTTGGGTTCCCGAGGTCTGAACCCTAACCCTGCAAAACCCCGAGCCCCTAGGAGGTCTGTGTGCGTCGTTCGGCAGTGGTGGTAGTGGTGGTGGTGGTGGTGGTGGTGGTGGTGGTGGTGGTAGTGGTAGTGGTAGTGGTAGTGGTAGTGGTAGTGATGGTGGTAGTGGTAGTGGTAGTGGTAGTGGTAGTGGTAGTGGTAGTG